GACGAATTGTGTAAAAATTTATAATGCCGGTGAGTAATGTAAATGGTGTAACCTAACAAAATAAATTGTACAAATATGTTTTAGTTTCTTCAGATTTGAGACAACCAAATACAAATTTGCATCAAGAATACTAAGTTTGCTATATCATAGTAATATACAAGTAGATATAATAAACAAATGTATACTCCAACATGCACCACACCACATACGATACCTGCACTACATAACCAATCAAAACTGAAACATACCCTTCAAAATGAAAATATAGCAAGTGGTGCAAATGCTTACGCAGCTTCGAACATACCTTCTAACTTATTATTACATGTGGTTGAGATCTTGAAGAAAGCACTTGCATTTAAACATTTGAATTTGCATTTATAATATATAATGAACAACTCTAGATAATCTCTATTAAAAATAAAGATCTTAAGACATGAACCAGATCATGTCCCGATACACGTATCAAGCGCAGCTCCCTCTCCAATTTCACATTTGTCTTGCAGAAAATTGATCGTAACTCCATGATGAAGGTGAAGATTTTTGTGACATAATCGTCTACTTCATTTGTTCCTCACCCTATGCACTGTTGATGATCAAAGACATATTGTCCGTGTAAATTTAAAATCAAATACCAACCGTACAATTCCAAATTATGCCATAAATCAGGACCCTAGTTTCATAAAAAAGTAAAATCAGAAAGACCCAATGATGAGAATACAAAGAGATATCAACAACGTAGTTTTACTTTTTGGAAACTCTTCCAAACTTCTAATAAATAAATATGAGAGTTCAATTCATGGTGCTTATTATAGAGAAATTTCTAAAATAATGATGTAGAATCCTTAAATCAGTAGTTATAACGTTTGCTGCAAAGCATTTGGCTCGAGTTCCAGGCGAAATGTCAATACTGCAAAAAACGAACTTTATTTTTGCAGTATTGGCTGATTTACAAGAGGAATTTCCATCAAATAAAAAATATGGATTTGGAAGCTGAACCTTTTTTGTTTTTGTTTTTGATAAAAGGCCGAAACTTGTTCTGGATGCATGAAAGAACCAAAACAAACCTCTCTTCGACATGAACGAAACACAAATCGGAATATTGCTAGACACTACAAGAAAACATATCCAATTTTTTTTGTGGTCAAAATTATTTTGACCATTTTTTACCAATTTTAGACGAATGTTTATTTTTGTTATAAATTGGTCAAGAAAATATGATGAAATATAAGAGTTAAAAATTGGTAAAAATTGGTCGAAAACTTGCGACAAAAAAGATTGGTTGAAAATTGGTCAAGAAAATATGTTAATTTTTGACCAACTTTTTTATCAATAAATTGGTCAAAATGTTTGTTGACAAATTTTTGACCAAAAAATTATGAAAATTTAAACTCGTCAAAATATGATCAAAATTTTTTTGACTAATACAAGTGGTCAGTAAATAGTCAAAAATATTCTTACCATTTATCGACTAAAACAAAATTTGATCGAAACTTCGTAAGTAATTTTTGACGAATAAATACTTGACAGAAATTGGTCATAACACTATCGACCAAATATTGAGGAGAACACTTCTATTGTATTTGTCCCACATCGCCAATATGGGAGGGGATGAAACTTTGACTTTCACTATAAAATAACACTTACTCCATTGTGAAAAACGTAAATGGGTTTCATGGCCCAAATAGTTAAATTTTGAAATATTTTAATCGCTGATTGAGTATATATTTTGAAATTATTATGGATCAAATATTTTAAATTTGAATTTTTATTTTTCGAATATATTTTTTTGAAATATTTTATATATTTTTTGAAATATTTAATTTAACTTTAATTATTATGAATCAAATATTTTAAATTTGAATTTCAATATTTTTAAATTGATCAAAATATAGTTCTAAAATTTAAATATCTGAGTTGGTCAAAAATTGGTTAAAATATATGGTCTAAAATTGGTCAAAATATATAGTTCCGACCATTTTGATTGATAAAAAATTTTTGATGATTTTATTGGTCGGAATCAAAATTTTGGTCACTTTGTTGGTCAAACCAAAATTTTGACCATTTTTATTGGTCAAAACGTTTTGACTATTTTCTGACCAAATTTCATTTGCGATCATCGATTTTTGACGAATCGATTTTGGTCAAGTACTAGTCAGAAATAGCTGTTTTTGACCAATTTTAGACCAAATTGATTATCAAAATTAAAATGTTTTTTTTTTGTAGTAAAATATCTCTTAGAAAGCCTTTTTCTCATCTTTTGTCAACTTCTCATAAGACGACTCAAATCCTGCAATGCTTCAAATGACGATTACATCCCTAAAATCCTCGAACGAACCACCACATATATTGTTTATCAGTAATGCTACAAAAATAAATCGGAAGCGGTGAAAAATAAAGAGGAAGAGTATGTGGTAAGAAAATCTGAGAGGTGACAAAAACGACTAATGGTTTGACATGGTTGTTAAGATCATTAGTGTTAAAGAGAGAAAATCAATTAACTTTTAAAATTGCTTTGGAATTATCGTATGGAAAATTGAATTCAACTACTTTGATTTTGAAGAGAGGAGGTTTGTGATCACATTACCAAATTTTCTGCGTATATTTATGGCAAGGAAATTCAGTGGTCATGTGTGATTAATTAGATATTTTGGGAATTCAAGTCAGAGTAAAACGAAGAGAATGAAGTCAAAAGAAATAATGATTTTAAATTCTTTATAAATAAGAAATGTTGATTTTTAATAATTTTCTTAGGTTGATGTGTTATAGAGATGGATGCTTACGTGTCAATCCTTTGTTTTA